GGGGTTGGGTGCTTCTTCGGGGATCTTCTTCCTAAGAGCCATGAGCTCTATGGAGGCGACGATTGCTGCGGCATGATCGCAGCACTCGACTTCACACTCGTAGGCGCACTGAAAGGAGGTGCTGATGGTGATGACCCTGACTGGGCCCGGCACCTTTAGCTTGAGGTAGGTGTAGTTGGGGATAGAATTGAACTTCGCGTAGCATGGTCATCCCAGGATGGCATGGTAGGTTCCGTGGAACCCAACCACTTCAAAGGTGAGGGTCTCCGTCCTATAGTTGTACGAACCCCCAAAGGTAATGGGCAGATCGACCTACCCAAGTGGCAAGGCCTACTTTCTAGGCACGATGCCATGGAAAGGTGCCATAGTTGGCTGGACGCGCGCTCGGTCGATGCCCATTACGTCGAGCATCTCGGCATACATGATGTGAGGTCACTGCCCCCATCCATCAGTACCTTGGTGAGCCGCTTCATACCGATGATCGGGTCGACCACAAGTGAATGTCTTCCCGGTTATGGGATGCTCTCCAGGTGGTCGGTCCGGTCGAAGGTTATGGCGAACTCTGACCATAGGAGGAAGGCAGGCGTGGCCGGTTCGGTCGTATAGACCTCGCGGCGTGCGACCTTCTAGCGGTGCTTGGAGTCACAGGCCGCCGACCCTCCGAAGATCATGAGGCAGCCATCCGGCGTCGGAAAGTCACCGTCTTTCCCCTCGGCATCATCCATGGTCAGGTCAGGGTCCTTCCCGTGCTCCCCTTTGTTTGAACCTCCGGACAAGAACCGCTTCATGAGGCCAGTCCTTGTATAGATGCTTGATGGGAAATGCATGGTTCAGGCATGGTCCCTGGAGCAGTTTCTCAAAGTGGTTCGGAGTGCCCTCCATGGGTTTCTGACCACCCCTACGGTCTACAGCGGCCACAAGCAAGCCCTCGCGCCGTTGGTTTTTCTTCTTCTTGGTGAGACGATTGGAGGTGCCTTCGCCGGCGTCTTCATCCTGCCCCGCCTTGCCTTTGAGGTGGTCGAAGATCGCTCTGACCGCTTCTTCGCCCGAGGCCCTTGCGTCCTAGTTTGTGGACCAGGGACTCGCAGGTGGTCCCGGACAGGAAAGCTCCTATAACGTCGGTGTCGGCGACGTTAGGTAGCTCGTTGCACTACCGGGGGAAACGTCGGATGTACCCACGGAGGGTTTCACCGGCCTTTTGTCAGCAGTTCTTGAGGTCCCATGGGTTCCCAGGGCACTTGTATGTGCCCTAGAAGTTCCCCATGAAGATCTCCTTCAGATCCGCCCAACTCTGGATTCTGTTGGATGGCAGGTGTTCCAACCATGTTCGTGCCGAATCGGCCAAGAACAATGGAAGGTTGTGGATAATGAAATCATTATTATCCGCACCACTGGCTTAGCAGGCAAGCCGATAATCCTCGAGCCATAGTCTGGGGTTTGTCTCCCCGAAGTACTTCGGGATGTTGGTTGGTGGTCGGTACCTTGGCGGGAAGGCAGCGTTGAGGATGTGTCGACCGAAGGCCTAATGCCCCGGCAGGCCAGGGCTCGGGCTTTGGTCCTCGCCACTATCGTAGAGTCTGCCACGGCGAGCTCTAGGGTCATCATGGGTACGCCTGTGAGCGTCGAGGGTGTTGTGTGCGTCACGGTTGCGGCCGAGACGTTGATGTACCGGGACCGCGGCGCGCTGTCTGCCGCCCTGTGGTGCCTGGTGGACCGATGCGTCCCTACCGGGTCGCTCGAAGAGCGTGTGTTGGCTGGCATCGAGCTCGCGTCGCCGAGACAACAAGCTCTCGGCCTGCTGTGTGCCGTGCGCTCAAGCAGCGTGTGAATCTTGCGGTGGGCCCGATGATCCTCGAGCGTCGTGGCCTCTGGAAGACCGTGGAACAAGGCCATCACGGTGGCGATGTTCTGGCTTGCCCGGATGAAGCGAGGGAGGGTTTCATCATCTATGATGATCCTTCGGTTCACGTCGTGGGCCATGGCATGTGCGCGCCCACCGTCTCCATGGCGCTTGATCTCCCAATCGAGCTCCGTGCACTCCTGCTCGAGCTAGAGACATGCTTCCTCAAGCTCTCGGTGTCGGGCTTTCAGCTGCTCCACCAACATGTGAGGCAGGGCTGCTATCTCCCACATATGAGGCAGGGCTGCTATCTCCCTCTTGACCTCATTGTCGAGGTCATTTGTTGGGGTAGCCTCCTCCTCGTGGACGCTTTCGACATGTCCCTCAGGGGTACCCATCATGAAGCATTCGTGAGAGGGGTGATGACTCCCCCTGCTAGAATTAGAGCCAGAGGGAGACTCTGGCTCCTCTGTGAGGAGGTCATGGAAAGATTCCACGACATGTTCGATCACCCCCACGAATTCATCGTTCGTGGGAGGTGGAATCATGTGTTGTGCCACAAGGTGGCTAACGCTCTCCGCGGTGTTGCAGAGACCGAACGGAAGCACTGTCGGGGTGCTTCGGATAAGGTGTTCTAGAGAGAGGGGTTCCCCTCCGCTGAGCCGCGCCATGTCGTTGGCATAAGAGAAGGTGTGGTGGCGCAGGTCCTCTCAGGATGGCTGGGTCCCACGGTACGGAGAAGCACGACGGCGAGCTTACGGTGGCGGTGAAGCGGTGGAAGGGCAGGTCCGAGCTCGATGGCGCTTAGGGTTTCACGACCACTGGCTCGAGGCGAGGCGGCGGTGCTAGGGTTTGGGGATGGGGGCGGCACGACATCCGAACTCAGGCTTTATAGGGGCGCAGGGCTTGGAGACCACGCCAAATCCTAGAAGAAAATCGGGCGGCGGCGTTTTCCTTATCCCGGGATGGAGTCCCGCTTGGCTACGACTGGAGGTAGGGGAAGGCGCTAACAAGCGGGCCTGGGGCGTCAACAACACAGGTTGCGAGGTCCGCCTATCGGTGAAATGCGGAAGGGGAGGGAAGGGCTCGCGGGCTCAGCTCGCTGGCTGGGCCAGCCTGGTGACGTGCGCCGCGCTAGGAGTTGTGCCTACGGGTGAAGCAGTGGAGCACTAGGCCTCGGCCCGTTGCGTTGGCTGGGCAGGAGGGAGGGGGAAAACCAGGCTGGGTCTGCGGAAAGAGTGGGGGCGCAGCCAGCTGGCTGGGCTGCCAGGCCAAAAGGGAAGAGGGAGAGAGAGGCGAGGGAGCTGGGCCTTCGGGCCAAAACTGAGATGGGGAGAGTTTTCCATTTCCTTTTATTTTTCTTTTATTTCAAACCATTTCAAAACCCTTTTTAAAAGCAATTTGAATTATTTTGAATTTGATACAAAGCCACACATTACAACAAATAATATGCACCAGCATGTATGCTCAACAATGTTAGTACACCATATGATAAATTTTAATTTAATGAAAAATTATTATTTCCCTAGGTTTCATGAGCACAAAAATTCCGAATTAAATCATTTTAGCTCTATTTCCAAATAAGAGAATTTTAGGGTGTTACACTTTCACTTTGGTTGCGAAACCTGACTTCGGGGCTTGTTTGAGCCTTTCAATTTTGCAAACTCATTCAAATGGTATTGCACTGCGATGCACACCTCCCCAGCAACTTTGCACCCTTTTCTCCCGCATTTGCCTTATTCCTCGCCATCCACCACCTCCAAAGCCATTCCACAATTTTCAGTTGAAGATCCAGTTACATTGCCCATATCTTTAGAGCTACTTCCTTCCTTGGACTGCACCGCACCTCCTCCAAATGCATGGACTGCCAACACTCCCGGGCCTTTTGTAATAAAAAAGAGGTGGTCGCAGTCTTCGTCAAATCTATTGCACATCGAACAGATTGTTTCAGTTTTGCTACTTCTTTTTAGATTATTCCGAACTGGTAGGCTGTTGTGGACGAAACGCCAAAAGAACATTTGGACCTTGTTTGGCACTTTCAGCTACCATATTTTGTGCCAAGGGCATTGAAATTTCGCTAAGCTCCTCTCCGCAGAGTCCCAGCTGTCCACCTAGCCTCGTTGTCGCTAATCTGTACAGCAAGCTTGTATGTCGATTTTACAGAGAAAAGACCCTTTGAATCGAAGTGCCAAGCTAGCCAATTCAGCATGCCTTCTCCATTTGAGATTGTCAAAATAGCCTCGGCTTCCTCTTCCTAGAAAGTATCACGTACCAACGGTTCGTCCCACCCACCTGTGTTCGGATCAATGAGTTCATCCACTCTTGTTAGCTTCATCAGAGTTTGATTTGTATTTAATAAGCCGCGACATAAACATTTGTTATGATGTGGCAATATTTTTTTGAAGAGAGAGAAGAATTGAGTTTCATGAAAATGAAACTCTTTTGGCATGGTTATCAACTCTATATGAGTCATCAAATTAAATTTCTATAAAACCGTAGAATGAATCTTTCCATTGAAAATAGATGTTTCAACCACATTTAATTTTATTCTATATAACTCTTGGAAATACCGCAATGAAAGTCCTTATTACAGATCATAAACGAAAAGCTCTATAAACATACTCTACTAACTAAGATATGAGAAATACTAATTAGTTAAAGTTGTAAAGATATAAAATGGTGTGGCAAAGATTTTTAAACAGCTACTACTTCTGTCTTGAAAGGAATACAAATTTAGACACATTCTCGATTAAAGTGTTCAAAGTTTAATCAAATAGTATATAAATAAAAATATTAATTTTTTTAATACACAATAAATATATTATAAAATATATCTAATTACAAATTCAATAATACTTATTTAATGATATAACTATTTATATTTTTATATATAATTGGCTAAATTTAAATTACTTTAACTCCGTACTGTGCTGAGTAATATTTTTTGAGACGAGGAGGGAATATATATCGATAAAAATTGAAAAAAGGGAAAATTACGCAACTAGCCTGGATTAGGTGCAGTGCGGTGCGGGCCTGCGGGAGCAAGGTCTGGCCACAGCGCACCTGCTCCGCCGCGCCTCCTCCGCCTTCCCTCTTCAGCACCACCAAGCCACTGCACTCGTGCTCCCCTCTCGTCCGCCTCCAGCACCCCCGCGCCGCCATGGCCACCGACTTCTCGACCGCCCCATTCCAGAAGATCCAGATCCAGCGCGAGGACACCGTACGTTACCCTTTTCTTTCACTCCCGTCCCCCCTCTCCCCTCCGTCTCTTCGCGCACACAGCCCGTTCGACCGAAAGGTCTCTTCCAGGGTTTATGGTGCCCTTCCTCCATTTAATCCACCTACTCTTCATTCGAATCCGACTTGCATTTGGCGTCGACTGCCCGGCATTGAGGGTTCTCCCAATTACGTTCGATTTCGTTTAGGAAGCTCAAATGATAGTTTGTTTCTTTGTAATAATGAGATGAATTGAGTGTTTGTGGGTGGGCTGTCTTATGCATGATCAATCGATTTTATGATTTTCGTACATAATCCTTTTTTTTTACTTGCATGGATTCTTTTATCATTCTTCCCTGTCCTCTTCCTCTTCAACTGTGGCTTCTTTTCTTGGTTTCTCTGCTTTCTCCTTTGCCTTTTATTTTGTCTATCGAAGGAACATGTTTTCTTTTTCCTTTGCAAAAGATAAAAGGGCAACACATGTGGTTATGGTGTCGACAGAATACCCGCTCGCAAAAAAAGAGAGTAAATTGCACGGACAGTCTTTAAAGTATTGTGCGAGTTTCATTTGGGTCCCTAAAATACGAAATCACACGTTTGGCTCCTTAATGTATTTAAGTGATCCCATCTAGATCCAAAATAGATACGAGGAGGGTTAGAAACTGACGTGGTTGTCCACGTGGTCAGCCATGTACCCATGGGATCAAGGCCTGCTCGTCCAGCCGGCAGTGACAGCCTCGCCGCTGGCAACGGCTGGCCGCGGCGACCCCGGCCCACATCGCGCTCGACCCCCTCGCACGCGAACGCTACCCCAGCGCCTCCGCGTATGCGCGGCCGCATGCTTCGGCGCCTCGGTGGCTGAGGCTGACCCTGCACCGCGGTGCCGCTGCTGCCGCGTTCGCGCTGCCGCTGCCGCTCCTGCATGCTGCCCGCCCTGCCCTGCTCGCTGGCCGCCTGTGAGCGCCGCTGCCCCCTGCGCCGCTTCAAAAAGCCGCCGCCGCCATCATGTGCACCGCGCCAGGCCGAGCCGATGAGGCAGCGCGCGTGCTCCCCTCGCCGAGGCATATTCCGCTCCGTCCGGTCGCTACGCGAAGACCAACGGCCAACGGTGCCTGGCCCATCTGCACCCACGCTGGCACGCTTTCTTAGCTTGGCCGGCCTTGACCGAGCCAGAAACTCATGGCCGCCGTCACCACCATGGACGTCGGTAAACACCGCCACCTCCCCATTTCCAAATTCGCGCAACTCGAGGCCTCCCGCTCCAATTCCTCGCACACATAGCTGCGCCCAGTTATCGTGTAGCCCCTGGAAGTGACCCCGTTGCAAATCATCCACTACGAGTGACGAATTTTGGAATCTCGCCGCTGCGGTCCGCCATGGCCGAGCGAGATCTTGCTGCGCCGCGTTCCACCGCCACCAAGCCTCCCCTCGCTCGACCACTGGCACCGTGAGGCAGGGTCAGCCACGGAGGCGCCGGATCACGTGGCCGCGCGTACGCGGAGGCGCTGGGGCAGCGCTCGCGTGCGTGGGGCGCCGGGACGGGGTGGGGCGGCGTCCGGCCAGAGGAACAGCAGAAGAGAGATGGCCACGGGGCGAGGAGGTCGAGCGCGATGCGGGCCAGGGTCGTCGCGACCAGCGCGGCTGGTGGCGAGGCTGTCACTGCCGGCGGCGGCCAAGGCCTGCTGGGCGAGTGCGCCTCGAGCCCACGGGTACATGGCTAACCACGTGGACAACCACGTCACCTTCTAACCTTCCTCGTATTTATTTTGGACCTGGATGAAATCACTTAGATACATTGAGGAGTCAAACGTGCGATTTCGTAGTTTGGGGACTTAGATGAAACCTGCCCAATACTTTAAGGACCGGCCGTGCAATTTACTCAAAAAAATGGTGTCAACAGAATACCCGTAAGGGAATTGCTACGTTGCCAGGAAACTAGTTAAATCCAATTCTGTTATTTACTGTCTTAAAAATTAGTTGGTAAATCAATGAGTTTTAGAAGTGGCTAAAACATGTTCAGAACATATTCGTTGGCTTCTCCTCCAATAGTTCCTAGAACCTTGCTCCTAAAATATAGAAGAAAATTTTGCATCGAAAATCCTGAACTATTTCTAAATCACAACACTTTTATACTTTCTTTATCTCTTACTCTTTATTCTTCTCAAATCCTTCCACCTCCAGATTGGCACGTTGATACGCATGCACACTGCGCGATTGGATCGATTTTCCCAAGTGCGGAAAGATTGGGAGTTGAGATAGGGAGTTGTTGGAGAGCAGTTTTTTTTTTCAATCTTACGAAAAAAATCTAGATTGGGAGTAGCTTTTGAAAACTCTTGGAGATGCTTACCTATCAGCTTAGTTCAATTTTGGATTTTGTTATGTTTGTTCGTCTGCTAATTTTCTATACTATGTACACCCTTACAGTATTATAGTAAACTACCAGGAAACCCGGATTTATTGAGGATTTTACAGAATCACTACTTTTGACCTTGACTATTTCAGATTTCTATCTTATTTTTGACTTCGTCGCATTTTTATATTTACTTGCCCTGTAATGAAATAGAAACACCATTAGTCCTTCAATGATTGGCCAACTATTTATTACCTAATTGACTTCAATGTGATTGGAATAACCATGAATTTCAGTAATAAGATCTACGTGATGTATGGAATGCTATATCTTAGATAGATTTTCATAGATTTATATACGAAATTGATTCTCTGGTATAACTTATGACCTTATCCTATCCTAGATGAAAGGGTCAGAGTATAAATAGCAAAAATAAGGGAGATGTGATTTCAGCCAGATAATTTGGTGCAAACAGTGTAGCAAAGCTTAGCTTTTGTCTTGGTGACATGTGCAGCTGGCTTGGAGCTTGGAGCTTGGAGCTCCCGACATGGCTGTCTTGTTACCAAAGTTTGAATACTAAAAGAATTGCTAGATAAGGATGCTTTCGCTTTTTTTTTCTGTGAGCAAGAAGTCTATATGTATAACAAGTTTTCCTGAGACGCTACATATACAGTTCTAACAAGTTCTATTGCTTTGGTCAGTTTATCTCATATTCAAATGTAACCTCTTACCTGTAGACTTTTGATGCCTATGTTGTTGGCAAAGAAAATGCTCCTGGAATTGTGGTTTTGCAAGAATGGTGGGGAGTTGACTATGAGATAAAGAACCATGCGATCCACATTTCCCAACTTGGTGGAGGATACAGAGCACTCATTCCAGAGTATGATCATGTCTTGTGTTGCCACCTGTTTATCACTTGAGCATATAAAATGAATGCTTCTTAAGATGTCAATACTTGCTTATAATATAGTGACTTGGCCAAGAACTTCGTCTCTTGACATGTTCTTTTCCCTTATCAGTTTATACCGTGGAAAAGTTGCTCTTGATGTTGCTGAGGCACAGCATCTGATGGAGGGTCTCGACTGGCAGGGTGCAGTCAAGGATATTCAGGCTTCAGTTAAATGGCTGAAGTCAAATGGATCACCCAAGGTAGGAGTTTCTTTATTTTGTTCTGCTTAGTCATTTGCTATCTGTATTTTCTGTTATCGTATGTTATATATTCTTACATGGAAATCGTTTCAATGAACTAACTGTTGTGAATCTATCACTAGCACCATACTAGAAAGATACTTAAAAAAACATTTACTTTTCCATACTAGAAAGATACTCAAAAATCAAATCTCTTATGTTATCTTCTTTTCAAGCTTTATGAGTAGATCTCCATGCATAAAAAGAACAAAGGCTAATGGTAAACTTGTACCGCAAAATTCTATTTTCTGAGATATTTTGTGGTCCTGAATCTCCTTATAGTGTGCTGAAGAATTTCCATCTACAGTATAGGATCCGTGGATCAGGATTAGCCTGATTAATGCACGGTGCAAATTACCTAATTGTGGTAAGGACTCAAGGCTACTGACTAGCGAGTAACAAATTCATGAAACAAAATCAGTGTAAACTTGTCTGAATAACTAAGGCATTTCATGTGCCTGAAAGTTTGCAGGAACTGCTGATCCAAAAACATTTAGAATAGGATTTTGTGCCCCGCACAGAATTTGTGCTATAGAGCAGTCTAACCATAACCAGTACAACATGAATAAAGGTATAACCCATACAGTATTATTTTATACTCCCTCCTCCGTCTCAGGATAGTAGGCGCAACTCAAAAAACGCTAAGACCAAGGAGCATCTAATTACCGTATGAGTCTCTTCAGTTCCGTCTCTAAATAAATGCTGCCTCTTCACTTCCACCTCCAAATATAACTGCGGGAAACGTCACCATTAACCAAATCGTCTGGCCCGCGCGCATGCATGCGCATGGAAATTTTCTCCCTGTCTACTCTAACTGACGTGCGCTAACGAGACGGCAGTAGTACTAGTCCAACAACCAGCAGCAGTAAATTCTGCATGCAAGCCGAGCAAGCGCCCTGTATCCTGGGACTAGTAAGAAAAACAGTTACGCCTACTATCATGAGACGGAGGGAGTAGTGATTAACATGCACAGCATCATACATATACACTAATCAGAAGTTGATAACCTTCTTTTCCATCTTTTTGTAACTAGGTTGGTGTTACTGGCTATTGCATGGGAGGTGCTTTATCAATTGCAAGTGGAGTTTTAGTCCCAGAGGTTGATGCTGTTGTTGCTTTCTATGGGACACCATCTTCTGAGCTTGCTGATCCTTCTAAGGCTAAGGCTCCTATACAGGCTCATTTCGGGGAGCATGACAGTTTTGTTGGTTTTTCAGATGTCACTGTAAGGCTATACCTCACAAGTCACTTATCTCTGTTGCTACGGCATTTGCCAAATATACATGATTTCCCCTTCTGTTTTGTATTTTTGTTTTTCACAATGCATACTTTTCACCGATTGATGCTGCTATTTAGCTCTTATTGTTGTCTCTATTTAGCTCAACTGTTGTCCATATCCAAGTTCCTTTTGATTTAGAAAGTAGATTATTTTCTATGCTTCATGTGGCAAATGTTGATGAACCTTGGGATTGCACTGCCCCCATGATAGAATCATGACTACACTACAAGAGCAGTACGCACCAGGTTTCATAAAATTAGTTTTTATCAACAACAACAACAACAACAACGTAGCCTTTCAGTCCCAAGCAAGTTGGGGTAGGCTAGAGTTGAAACCCACCAAGAGCCCCAAGTCACGGTTCAGACACTTCAATAGCTGCTTTCCAAGTACTCCTATTCAAACATAAATCTCTAGGTATATCCCAAGCTTTCAAATATCTTTTTATTGCCTCCCCCCATGTCAATTTCGGTCTTCCTCTACCTCTCCTCATATTATTAGCTTGGCTTAGGACTCCATATTGCACTGGTGCCTCTGGAGGGCTCCTTTGGACATGGCCAAACCATCTCAACTAATGTTGGACAAATTTTCTTCAATTGGTACTACCTCTAGGGGATCACGTATATCATCGTTCCGAACTCGGTCCATTCTTGTGTGACCGCAAATCCATCGCAACATATGCATTTCTGCAACACTCAGTTGTTGAACATGTCGAATCTTTGTAGGCTAACATTCTGCTCCATATAACATTGCCGGTCTAATCGCCGTTCTATAGAACTTGCCTTTTAGCTTTTGTGGTACTCTCTTGTCACAGAGAATGCCAGAAGCTTGTCGCCATTTGATCCACCCTGCTTTGATTCTATGGCTAACGTCCGCATCAATATCTCCATCCATTTGTAGCATCGATCCCAGATACCGAAAAGTATCCTTCTTAGGCACTACTTGACCTTCCAAACTCACATCTCCCTCCTCCTGTACAACTCCGTCAAAGTCGCATCTCATGTATTCGGTTTTAGTTCTGCTCAATCTAAAACCTTTAGACTCAAGAGTCTGCCGCCATAACTCTAGTTTCCTATTTACTCCCGTCTGGCTTTTGTCCACTAACACTACATCATCAACGAACAACATACACCAAGGGATATCCCCTTGTATGTTCCTGGTAACCTCATCCATTACCAAGGCAAAGAGATACAAGTTTAAGGCTGACCCTTGATGAAGTCCAATTTTAATCGGGAAGTAATTTGTGTTACCATCGTTTGCTCGAACACTAGTTACAACATTGTTGTACATGTCCTTGATGAGGGTCACGTACTTTGATGGGACTTTATGTTTGTTCAAAGACCACCACATAACATTTCTTGGTATCTTGTCATAAGCCTTCTCTGAGTCAATGAAAACCAAGTGAAGGTCCTACCCTCTAAACCGCTCCATAACATGTCTTATTAAGAAGATTGCTTTTGTGGTTGACCTTCCGGGCATGAAACCAAATTGGTTTGTTGATATCTGCGTCGTTCCTCATAGGCGCTGCTCGATGACTCTCTCCCATAACTTCATAGTGTGGCTCATCAACTTAATTCCTCGATAATTAGTACAACCTTGGTACTAATATGCTTCTTCTCCACTCCTCAGGCATCTTGTTCGATCGAAAGATATTGTTGAACATCTTGGTTAGCTATACTATAGCAATATCCCTGAGACATCTCCACACCTTGATTGGGATACCATCAGGGCCTATCGCTTTGCCCCCTTTCATCCTTTTCAAGGCTTCTCTGACCTCCGATTTTTGAATCCTTCGCACAAAGCGCCTGCTAGTGTCGTCAAAATAGTCGTCCAGCTGAATGGTGGTGTTCTCGTTCTCACCATTGAACAATTTATCAAAATACTCTTAGCATCTATATCTGATCTCATTCTCCTTTACCAAGAGCTGCTCCCTCTCATCCTTTATGCACTTGACTTGGTTGAAGTCTCTTGTCTTCCTATCGCGAGCCCTAGCCATCCTATAAATGTCCTTCTCTCCTTCCTTCGTACTCAAACGTCGGTAAAGGTCCTCATAGGCCCGCCCCTTTGCCTCACTCACCGCTCGTTTTGCAGTCTTCTTTGCCACCTTGTACTTCTCTATGTTGTTTGCACACTTGTCATGATACAAGCGCTTATAGCACTCCTTTTTCTTAATAGCCTTTTGCACATCTTCATTCCACCACCAAGTGTCTTTCGAGTCGTATCCACTCCCTTTGGTCACTCCAAGCACCTCTGAAGCAACCTTCCGAACGCATGTTGCCATCTTCTCCCACATGCTGTTTGCATCGCCTTCATCATTCCAAGGGTCCTCTTAAATGACCTTTTCCTTAAAGACCTTTGATGCCTCCCCTTCTAATTTCCACCACTTTGTTCTAGCAAGCCTAGCTTGTTTGTTCCCACGAGCTTGCACCAGAAAGCGGAAGTCAGCCACCACCAGCTTGTGTTGAGCGACCACACATTCTCCTGATATCACCTTACAGTCCACGCATGTTCGTTTATCCCTCATTCTTGTAAGAACAAAGTCGATTTGACTAGAGTATTGGCCGCTACTAAATCTCACTAAATGGGACTGTCTCTTATGGAAGAAAGTGTTAGCTATCATCAGATCAAAAGCTATGGCGAAGTCTAAGACTTCCTCTCCCTCCTGGTTCCTACTACCATGTCCGAAACCCCCATGAACCGCCTCGAAACCTGCACTTGACGTACCTACATGGCCATTAAGATCACCTCCTATAAAGAGCTTCTCGCTACTAGGGACAGCTTTACTATAATAGACCCAAGCTGGAGCAAGGAATTAGTAGTTTCAGTGTTTGCCACCATGCCATTTGGTTCATCTTTTATGTATATGCTTCATCATCTGTAGTCATTACCATCAGCATCTCTTTAGGAGACATTTCCATGAGGGCAAACTCATATTTAGGCCTGAAAGTTTACATGAAAACTGGGATTGCCCAGATCTCACTCTTCATGTGAACAAGGCCTGGGCAAGAGTGAAGTCAGTGTTGTAGCCTTCATGGCAATCTTTTATAATGTTATGTGCCTAGCATTTGGTGGATAACTAATATTTCTCATTATGTGTTAGTAATAGCAGTAAGTGGAAACATGGTTGTGTACGATATCTGCATGTTAGTTTTGTATCTGGTGCTCCCAAATTGTCTCTCTACTTGATAACTACTCAAACAAACATAAAATACATGAAGAGCATATGATGTGTATATTGGATTCTTTGAATCTAACACTACTATCTTATATGATGTTTCAGGCAGCCAAGTCCCTGGAGGAGAAGCTCAAATCTTCAGGCATACCATATGAAGTTCACATATACCCTGGATGTTCACATGCCTTCATGAACACTTCGCCTTAGGCCCTCAAGAGGAAGAAGGGGATGGGTCTGACTGATGAGAACCAGGAAGCCGTCGACCTGGCCTGGTCTCGCTTCTCTTCTTGGATGGGCCGTTTCCTTGGATCTGCTTGAGCCATTCCCCACTTTATGTGCTGTGTGATTATGTGTGGTGATGAGGACATCATTGGCTCAAATATGACCATGCCAACCACTTCTATACCAAAGGTGCAACCATTCTATATGAGGCTTATCATTGATGCATTTGATGAATTGGTGCTCCACCATAAAATGTGTATATTTTCATTTTCAGAATTACTTACATGGATCAAGGGAAGGTTTGATTGCATATGGAAAGTATGGAAGGTTAATGAAGTTGATTGGGGACCAAATCCAAGTATTCCCAACGTCCTCCACCTAGACACCACGTCACTTTTGGCCCAAGGAAAGATAGAGATCAAATCCAACACGTTTTGGGGCTGGATTCGGACTCCAGGACAGCTCCAACTTGTGATGTTCACCACGGTCGCATACGGACTCGGATTGGGGCGTTCAAGTACTTTATGGAATCCTTATGAAGTCTATTTTCATATGGATCTAGAATCAAATCCATATCTGTTCTGAGGCGGCTGCAATGACCGAATTACTACCGGGAGGTTTTCTGTCCAAAGGTGCTGCGTTGCCTTAGTTTGGTCCATTGGGCCGTGTATCAAGTCGGGTCCATTAGGGACACGTCCTAGGGTTGGAACACGACCCCAACACCCTGGTGGACGTCCCTCCACCTTCATATACCCCTTAGCCTCCACCAAGAACAGTTGGGTTTTTGTTTTGTTGAAAGTTTAGCCATTGCTACTTCCTTGTAGACGCATGTGTCGACTAGACCATCCGTTCTACTCGATTCAGAACCCCAACTTTGTGATTTCAGATTGGTTTTCATCTCCATATTTGCAATTGAGTTGCTTGTTCTACTTGTTCTTGCTAGTTCTTCGATTGCTTGTAGGACGAGTGCCCTAGTGGCCGGTGACGCGCTCCACAAGATTGCGACACCTGTTGGAGGTGGTGTATCGGTTGCTAAGGCACAGCTTGGAAGGCTGTAGTCGGGCCGTGAACGTCATCTCCACCCATCAATCGAGTTATCCCACACCTCTCATCGAAAGATCGGGAACAAACCCTAGCGGGATCATATCAGTTGGTAATCAGAGCAAGGTTTATCGGTGAGAGACTTCCAATCCTTCGCTGTTTTAATTTTCCTAGTCCAGAAAAAGCCAAAAAAAATATAGTAGATTAGTTTACCCACAATCCTATAAACCCTTTGAGCCTTTGCTAGCACTGCTTAGTTAGGGCTTGTTGAGTTTTCGGTTGCATCGGTTGTGTCGAGTTGCTGGTCTTAGTGTCTATTCCTTTAGAGTTTTGAGTTCTATCACGTTTTGGTCACCACGAGATCCACCATCACCATATACATCATTGCTGCGTTTCTGCCACCATGGATCCATATGATGTCCGATTTGGGAGTTTAAATACAATATGAAAACTTGAAGTTGTCTTCTTTCCAACGGATCAGACATTGCAGCAAAATTCGATCTGAGCACTCCACAATCTTCCTAGAGATTTCCGCATCTGCTGTAATAACCAGAGTTGTTAAATCTGAATTCGAAGGGGCTGGTGCAATAGCCTTATTGTTAGGGTTGTCATAGTACCAAACAAAATATTTAGGGCCCTGTGAAAAAAGAAGAAAAAAAGAAGAGAAAAAGACAAGAGAAGGAGAAGAAAGAAGGGGCTGAATCTGTTATTTTCTTTGTGCTGTGCTAGTTGCTCTTTTTCAGTGACTACCTTTGTGCCTAGGCTCACGTCTCTAGCATGCTTTAGCCTAGGACCAGCACAGTACCGCCGTTGAATGATTATTCAGCTTACTTTTGTGACTAACGTGGTGCTAGTACTTCCTTGCTTCAGCCCACCTATAGCTCCACATATTTCGACTACAGCTTGACAGGTGTTGTTGTTGCGGCACCGATACACTTCATTCCACGGTTGCAGACTTGTTGGTTGCCGTCACCTCCTGTTTGGCTTGGTAAGAACTTGTAAGGGCTTGTTTTAAACAAGTTGAGTTTGAGAGAATTACAGCCGACACATTCTAGTAGTTGACAGGACGATACATATTATTTTTGTGTTTCTTGTTTTCTACTGATCATGACAGGTGATACGGAAATTTTTGAGCTGTTGAAACTAGACCCTCATATTCAGGATGTCATTCAACACTTGCCGTTATATGATGGTAAGTTTGATCCTAAAGCTTACATTGATTGGGAGCTAAAAGTAGATAATGAATTTGATGAGGATGACCTGTCTGAGAAACAAAAGATTTGTATTGCCTCTAATGTTTTGATTGAATATGCTTTGCTGGAATGGAAACACATTTGTAGGCACAACAAAGTTCCAGAATCTTGGGAAGACTTCAAATTTCTTTTTAGAGATGCATTCGTTCCTGCATATTATGTTGATTATTTGCTTGCAAAATTAGACAACTTGAAGTAGGGTAGTAAGACTGTGAAACAATACTACCATGATTTTAAGATTTGTATCATGTTTAGTGGATTGGATGAATGCATGAAAGATGTTATAAGTAGGTTCATGAGCGGGCTCAATTCTGAAATTCGAACCTTGTTAATTAGCAAATCATATTGCCATATTGGTCAATTGTTTTGTCTTGCTCTAAATGCTGAAAAAGAGATTCTATTACCTGTGAATAAGAATGATGTGACCCAAAATGTCCAAAATTTGTCCACTCTGCATGCTAATGAAGAGCAACAAATAGTGGAACCCACTACTGATTTTCCTTTGTCACAAAATGAATTACTTGCTGTTCCTTGTGATAAAGAGGAGTTGTGTGCTGATGATTCTTTTACTCCTATGCCACAAGTAGCGAATAAGTGTGATACTTTTGGTTTGGAACCATACAAATGTGCTGGAGATAAGCTTTTTCATCCTATTACATGTGCACAAGATGAACTGAATTTGCTATCCTCTTTAAATACTTTGGGTTATATTGAATTTGATATTCTGTGTAATCTAAATTGTCTAAAAGAGAAACTTAAATTTGATTCTGGTTTGCCAAGTTTTAATCATTGTTCGCTTCATACAATTGGCAAATATGACAGCAAAGGAGAATATTTGGTGCATAAAGTTTATATTTGCTCTAATCTGAAATATCATTTTGGGCCACAATACCATTATCAAGTTGAGGGCTGCACTAACACTAATGATGTCTTGCAAAGTTTTCCTAGTTTTTCCCATATGCAACAGGATAAATATCAAGAAGGGGAGCACGATTCACTTTTACCTACAACACATCCTCCAACAAACGTCAAACCGAGGATGGTTTGCTATCAAGAAGGGGAGAATGATGAGGACATCATTGGCTCAAATATGACCATGCCAACCACTTCTATACCAAAGGTGCAACCATTCTATATGAGGCTTATCATTGATGCATTTGATGAATTGGTGCTCCACCATAAAATGTGTATATTTTCATTTTCAGAATTACTTACATGGATCAAGGGAAGGTTTGATTGCATATGGAAAGTATGGAAGGTTAATGAAGTTGATTGGGGACCAAATCCAAGTATTCCCAACGTCCTCCACCTAGACACCACGTCACTTTTGGCCCAAGGAAAGATAGAGATCAAATCCAACACGTTTTGGGGCTGGATTCGGACTCCAGGACAGCTCCAACTTGTGATGTTCACCACGGTCGCATACGGACTCGGATTGGGGCGTTCAAGTACTTTATGGAATCCTTATGAAGTCTATTTTCATATGGATCTGGAATCAAATCCATATCTGTTCTGAGACGGCTGCAATGACCGAATTACTACCGGGAGGTTTTCTGTCCAAAGGTGCTGCGTTGCCTTAGTTTGGTCCATTGGGCCGTGTATCAAGTCGGGTCCATTAGGGACACGTCCTAGGGTTGGAACACGACCCCAACACCCTGGTGGACGTCCCTCCACCTTCATATACCCCTTAGCCTCCACCAAGAACAGTTGGGTTTTTGTTTTGTTGAAAGTTTAGCCATTGCTACTTCCTTGTAGACGCATGTGTCGACTAGACCATCCGTTCTACTCGATTCAGAACCCCAACTTTGTGATTTCAGATTGGTTTTCATCTCCATATTTGCAATTGAGTTGCTTGTTCTACTTGTTCTTGCTAGTTCTTCGATTGCTTGCAGGACGAGTGCCCTAGTGGCCGGTGACGCGCTCCACAAGATCGCGACACCTGTTGGAGGTGGTGTATCGGTTGCTAAGGCGCAGCTTGGAAGGCTGTAGTCGGGCCGTGAACGTCGTCTCCACCCATCAATCGAGTTATCCCACACCTCTCATCGAAAGATCGGGAACAAACCCTAGCGGGATCATATCACGTGGAGTCAGGTCCCATGAATAAAATGTTCAGATTCAGGATGCTCTATCCAAACCATACAAATGGACTGGGTTGTACGGTGCTCTGGATTTGGTCGTCCTGTTTATGGATAAATATACCGCAGTGTCGTCTCCTTATTTTCTGTGGATGGATGCATATTGTGGAATTGCCGTCGATGCCTTCTGGCAGCAAGCAGCGAGAAGGCAACTAATTGCTGAACTTAGTGCTGGCACAGACACAAAGCTGACAATTAGCCTAGTTGAGGACGAGCTTTAGCTGGAGCATCTCCAAGAGCTGTATAAAACAACCTAATTTTCAATAAAAAGAAAAATAACAGACTCTAACTGTATGACTTTACAAATAATAAGTACTTCCTCCTTTCTGTAAGTCTTCCGACTTTTCTATTTATATAGTTTAGCTATGTACTACCTCTGTTCTGAAAAGAATATAACTATAGGTTACGTGCCATAAAAAATAGTACACATTTGACCAAGTTTTTAATGAATAATATTCACAGTTATGTCTTTAAATTAATTTATTATGAAAATACATTTCGTAATTAATCTGATGGTATTTATTTGATATCATAAACACGGATACTTTTTATCTAT